CAATCAAAGGAGAAAGAAACCTCTCGCAGGCAGAACTCTCCCACAGTGGGTTGGGGCTGCTTCGGGAGGATGAAGAATATCTGGGCTCAAGTATTCGGGAAGAGATTCCTGCCCTGGATGGGAGACTGGGCTCTGCCATCAAATGCCCCCCACTCACAGCTCCCCGATGCTCGGGTGCCCTGGCTGTCAGGCTCTGCCCAGGGATGAGCTGGTTCTCAGCACCATCTTCATCTAGCTCAGCACCTGTGAGGGAGTTCGCCTCTCCGGTGTGTCTGTCCTGTGGCCAGAGGAAGTCCCAGGCTGACCTTGGCGCCCAGCCCCCAGGAGAGAGCAGAGCTGCGAGTGCTGTGGCTCGTCGGGGCAGAACTCTGGGAGTCCAGGGGCCCGAGTCCTCCCGGCTGCAGGACGCGTCTGCACACAGATGCAGGCCGTCGCTCTGGCCCGAGGGAGCACATGCAGGCTCCATCTCCTTTTATGTCCTTGTCCGGATATTCCCGACCAAGAGTCAAGGGCTGTGAATGAGGCCAGCCGGGCATCTCTCCTTCCAGCCTTCCGTGGCTTGAGGATTGAGACGGGGCTAAGGGTGTGAATGGGGGTCTGTGTCCCCGCCCCCACTCTTCCTTTTGAGGGTCCATACGTGCAAAAGACCACCTGAGACCCTGGCTTGCCACTTGTAGGAAGAAGAGATGTGGGGCCTGATTTGCCCCCCACCCGCCTCCCCACCCTTCAGAAGTGAATCTGCCAGGCTCCTCTTTCCTCTGTACCCAGGGTTTTGGCCATTAGGAACATGGTACTGCCCCGGATGTGGTTCTGGGGAGAGACTTTAAGCTACTTCTATCTTTTTGTTTTTTAATGTTTATTTACTTATTGAGACAGAGAGAGAGAGTGCACGAGCAGGAAAGAGGCAGAGAGAGGAGAGAGAGAGAGAGAGAGAGAGAGAGAGAATACCAAGCAGGCTCCACACTGTCAGTGCAGAGACTGACACGGGGCTCAAATCCATACACTGCGAGATGGTGGCCTAAGCTGAAACCAAGAATCGGATGCTTAGCCAGCTGAGCCCACCCAGGAGCCCCAAAGCTGCTTCTACCTTTGCACTAAATCTTTAAGTTTAAGGGGAGGTCCTCATGGGGCACCCAAAAGTCAATTTGCACTTTGGGGACAGTCACCCAGCCTGAGGGACAGGTAGACATGTATTCCAGGTGTATATTACAGTAGCCATCTCCTGGGTCAGCACCCACTTGAAGTGTTTTGTCCGGTCATTCCTGAAAGACTACTCGTTCTTGTCTCCTGATTCCCAGTCCCTAATCTGTTTTTTTTTTTTTTTTTAACGCCGTTCTGCCTGCGGGGTGGGATCTGTATCCTAAAGGAAGGCAAGGGCTCCTGGTGGAGGCTGTGGTCTGTATACCTGAGCCCAGATTCACCCCAACACTGACCCCTCCCCAGGCTGGACCTGGGTCTCTCCTTCATCTCTGATGTCTCAGGTCACCTCCAGTCAGGGCCCCCTCCACTGGGATTCCGCTGGGACTTTTGCCCTATTTGGGGTGGGGGAACCGCCCCTCCCCCAAGGCATAGGCTGAGACAGCCTGAGATGGTTTTGGTTCCTCTTCCTTATATCTTCTTGATGAAATGAGGTGATGCACGTGGACAGGCTTTGTAGCCTGTGATGCTCTGCCCACAGTGAAATGGTTTTGGGGGACCATCGCCAACGAGAGGAGAGGGGAGTCCAGGTCCTGGGATTGGACCAGATTCGTCCTGCTCTTGAACAGCTTCCCCTCCTGGCTGGTGTGCGGTGGGGCCAGACGTGAGGTTTGTGCCCAGCGCCTGTAGGTCCCCCGGCCCAGGCACCAGGACTGTCAGGAGGAGGCTCCGCACTCAGATCAAGGTTCCTGTGGACAGCGACTTTTCCAGCGCTGCCTCGGTCTGCCTTCCTTGCAGGATGGGTCCCTGGCACGCCCACCCCAGGGACCTGGCTCCTCGTACTTTAGTTAGCCATGTAGATTTTTTTGTGTGGGTCTTCCATTCATGGGGATTAGCAGCTCATCTTTTAAAAATGGACATTTTAAGTGGCTGGAGTTGATCTCAGAATTCCAGAGGTGGAAGGGAGTACAGGCTGACCAATGCCTGTCTATGGCCAAGGGCCCTTAGTTCTTAACCTGACATTGGAGTATAAAAGCCAATGTTCTAGGAAAGTGAACCAGCACTCGGTTTGGACAAGGACAGGAAGGAGACGAGGAGGTAAAAAGAATAGAAGCCAGACTCACTTCAGAGAGAAATGGTGGGCCAGGCCCTTCAATGCGTCACAAATCAATACATACTTATTGAGATCCCTGTACAGGTGACTCTCCCCTCCCCCAACAAATAAATAAATCAGTACTTATTGAGAAACTACTATGTGCCACACTGTTCTGTTACTCTGCCATCCCAGGACCTCTGTGCTGTCAGACACCATTGAGTTACAACTTTGCGCAGCGCCTGGGTGGCCCAGTCAGTTAAGCCTCTGGCTTTGACTCAGGTCATAATCTCACCGTATGTGAGCTCATGCCCCATGTCAGGCTCTGTGCTGACAGCTCAGAGCCTGGAGCCTGTTGTAGATTCTGTGTCTTCCTCTCTCTCTCTCTGCCCTTCCCACGCACTCTCTCTCTTTCTCTCCCTCTCTCTCAAAAATAAATAAATGTTTAAAAAAAAACTTGGGGCACTTGGGTGGCTCAGTCGGTTAAGCGTCTAACTTTGGCTCAGGTCATGATCACACAGTTCATGGGTTCGAGCCCCGCATCAGACTCTGTGCTGACAACTAGCTCAGAGCCTGGAGCCTGCTTCAGATTCTGTGTCTCCCTCTCTCTCTGACCCTCCCCTGCTCACGCTGTCTCTCTCTCTCTCTCTCTCTCTCAGAAATAAATAAAACATTAAAAAAAAAAAACCTTTGCAAGGCCCTGCTGTGAGTGGGTGGGGGTGGAGAGAAAGGGTCTGTGCACCTGAGGGAGAGGCCCCTAGAGAGAGAGTGTCTACAGAGTGAGTGAAAGGCAGGACGAAGCAGTGGCTGAGGAAGAGTTCCAGAACGTGGATGGGCCCAGAGCTCCCGTGCTCCTGACTAGACCTTGATTGGGGAGGGGGCTGGGCATCCGAACAATACCCCTTGTTTGACGTGTGACACACAGCAAGTAGCCAGGTCTCTCTTCCTGGGCTGGAAGTCTTTAAGATATGGGACATGCCCTGTCGTCCCCTGCCCTCTGCCACCACCTGTCTCTAGTAGGTCACACAGGGAGTGGGGCATGTCGTAGGGGAAGCTCTTGAGGTTTCTCAGAAGCCAGGAGCGGCCAGATCTTGGGTTGGTTACTATGTGTCCAACTGGGTCAGGGTTCGTGGTCAGCTCAAAGCTGTGGGCAGAGGAAAACATCCACTAACCTACTCAGGTGAGGCCAGGGGCCAGGACTGGGGGCCAGGGTGGGAGCGCGGGGCGTTGTTGGGGCGTTGTGGGGTTTTAGCCTGATTTAGGGTATTGCCCAGACTCTGTCATTTCTCTCGGGGGCAACTTCATGGGCATGTGACCCGTGCAGTCACGCCGGGCTCTGTACTTAGAAGAGCTCCACGCTTGGTTGGGTGCTCTGTTGCTGCTATCTTGAAATTCTCAATACTTTTTGAACAAGGGGCCCTGCATTTTCATTTTGTATTGGGTCCCCCAGACCAGGCAATAGGTCGGACTAGACTGATGGCTCTGGCTCTGCTTTTATCTGATTGGGTTTGAGGGATCAGACTTGGGGTAACTAGCTCTTCCCCTCACGTTCTCCGCATGTTCTACTTAAAGTTCTGAGCTCTGGGATCTGGACAAGTAAGGGGCGGGCTTTTCCAAGCATGTCTGGGAACATGGTTGGTAGAGGTCCAGCACGGGCTCCGGCCGGTGGAAGTGGAGGATGTTGGAGAACATTCTGGGGTGGGTGTAGGGTCAGGAAAGCAAGTGGGCATGGGAAAAAGGATTTGGATCTTTTCTGATCCAGCCCAGAGTGCAACTCAAAGAGAAGTCTTTTCCCTAGAAGTGCCATTGACCATCAGGGGAAAGGAGGAAAGAAGTTCCCCAAAGTCCTCATAAGGAGCCCTCTCCCGCCAACGAACAGGAGCTCCAAGGTCTGTGGTTGAGCCCTTCCCGACACACCTCTTTTGGGAGCCCAGTGGCAGCCAAGCCAGTTGAACAGGAGGGATTTGGGTGCATAGCAGCGTGTGATTCTGGGGGTCATTTCCTTAGCTCATCCGAGAACACCTCATCCGAGGACACCTCATCTCTAGAGATTCCAGTTTTCTGACGGGGACCACAACATGCTTTAAAACATTTCTAGGATCAACACAGAGTTCTCCCACCAATTTCATACCCCCGTGCCCCCCGACTCTGACCCAAGGTGGTCCCCTCCCTTGCTGACCACCTGGTCTCCCAGTTCCCTGGTTTAGCACATAATTACTATCTCAGAGCTTCCAGTGAGTGGGGTTTTTGTCTTCGTGGGTAGACCGTAAGCTATTTGAGGCCCGGAACCAAACCCTCAGCTTCTCCGTTCAACACAGAATCTAGTGCCCCGTTGATATATTCAGATAGCAAGAGATGAGTAAGTATACTGGCGCGAGGCCAGGTTCCTGACAGTAAGAACCCTTCCAAAGCACTTTCCCATCTAGGCTCTATTCCAGCCCTAAAAGATAAGAAGAGGATCTTCTTCTAAAGAATGGAGAGGCAAAGTGACTTGTTCCAGGTCACACAGCAAGCCAGGGAGGGGACAGGACCAGAACCCACGCTTCTGATCCCCTCAGAAGGATGTCAATTTAAAGCAACAGCTCTGCGTATCTGCTTCCTCCATGGAATGGGAAACACAGTCTTAAAAGGCAGGTGCCGTTGGGCCTGTCTAGATTCTACTGATCCACAGTGGGAGGGGACTCCGCAGCCATTCCCTCTTCCCTGAGTCCCAGGCACAGGAAATTGAGAATTCCAAGTAGGGCCGGGGCGACTGTCTGTCTCTACTCACCATCTCCTCCAGGTTGTAGTTGATAAGGTCCACGTCCAGGGTTAAGGGGTAGTTCATGCTTGTAGCCGTATGTCACCAGACTGATCACTGGCTGATGTTGAGAGGCGCTCTGCCTGGTGCCTATAGAGTGGTGGCAGCCGTCAGCTGCAAATTTAAACAAATGAGTTGCGTACGGTCTCTGGGGCTGTGTAGGACCCGCTGTCTGCCTCACAACTCGTCGCTTTTTTTTTTTTTTTTCCACTGGGTCTTTTTTTTTTTGAAGAAAAAGGGAAAATCCCCATAGCATCAGTGCTAGTCAAGCATTTCAGCTTCTTTCCTGGCAATAGTTCTCTCAATGGGGTTTGTGACTGATTTAAAGGCCTCCCCTCGCCTCTCCGCCCCAAGCCTCCCAATAAGGGAGTTGTACCTTATAATGAAAACCACCGCACCAGTCCGTGGGGCAACCAGGGAAACTCCATGTAGAAAGGGAACAGGAGGAGAGCCCTTCCAGGACCTTCTCTCCAAGTCACCTCCAAGCCTTCACCTTTCTCGCCACTAGGGTGACCAATCATCCGGTTTGCCACCGACCGAAAGTCCCTCGACCTGGGAAACCCCTCACTCCCAGGCAAATGGGGACACTTGGTCATCCAGCTTGCTACCATCCTTTTGACCGGACAGGGGCAAAACCTCTTCCCTTTCCAGTTCAAGTTCAGGAGAGAAAGGCTAGAAATGTTCAAAGGGAACAACGTTAAAACATTACTGGAAGACAAAAATAAAATCACCCGAATTACCAGCACAAAAACATAAACAGTCACCGAGTCGTCTTCTGACTCAAAAGAATGATGTTCCAGCTACCACTTACCTTGGTTGGCTCCTAATGATTAACAGCAGACACTACCCAGCTGGTGTAGAGTTTTCCACAGGAAGATCCTGAGGCTCAGAATGGGAGAGGTTCATCCCCAGGACCCACAACTAACTAGCAGCAGAGCGGGGACCCGAACCCAGGTTTCCTCACTGCACATTCAGAGTTTTCTGTACTACACCAGGCTGCCCCTCTCACAGGCTCATGTGACTCTCTCCTTTCCCTCAACTCTGTCCTGTCTGAGGACCCCTTCCTTTAAGCAGCCCCTTTGTAGGCATTGATCAATTTCCCCTCCAGTCTGATCTTTGTGCCCTTTCTTCCAGGAGGCGGCATTTCCTTTCCTGGTCCACAATGACTTAAAAACAGTGACTGTGCACACGAGTGACATGCTGCTTCTTTGCTCTTGTCGTCATCTTCCCTTCCAGCCAAATTATCCTTCTCTGGGACCCCACCCTCTCTAGTGCCTCCTTTCATCTTTTCCTCCATAGTCACCCGCCCTGTTTCTCTGCTATTGCCTCGGGTGTAACCCTCGCTGCGCCCCCAACAGGCACAGCTTTCTTGGATTTCAACAGCTTGAGGAATTCCGGGCTTCTGTGTGTGCTGTTGGGGCCTGTCTTTTCCCTCTTCATTCACTCACCACCTTCAGCAGCTGCTTTCAAGGAGGAAAAGGGGCGCCTGAGGACAAGGGGTGGGAGTTCCTCTTTTGTATTTCCAGTCCTAAAACGCTCAGAAGGAAGCTGCCCCAATGTTTCCTGTCCGCGCTTGCTAAGCGTTCCCCATTCTTCCAGCCCCACCCCCCAACATTCCTGCCCCTCCGAACCACTGATACATTCAACTTAGTTTTTGCGACTCTAAGGACATTGATTAGGAAAGAATATAGCATACAGACTCATATGGGAACTGGAAGGAAATTTGGAAGATAAATCAGTCCCTTCTCATCCCCCCTCCCCTGCCCCCAGCAAATGCAAGACTTTTTTCCCCTTTTTCTTTCTTTCTTTTTTTTTAATTTTTGAGAGAGACACAGAGTATGAACAGGGGAAGGGCAGAGAGAGAGAGAGAGAGAGAGAGAGACAGAATCTGAAGCAGACTCCAGGCTCCGAGCTGTTGGCGCAGAGCCTAACGCAAGACTCGAACCCACAGACTGTGAGATCATGACCTAAGCTGAAGTCGGACGCCCAACAGACTGAACTACCTGGGTGTCCCAGCAAATGCAAGATTCTTGTTACTACATCCTCATCACATGGTCACCCGGTATTGGACAAACATCACTAAGAGTGAGAAACTTGTTCCTTTCGGGAGATGTGTTTTAAGGTAGGATGATTGGATCATTACAAGCATATCCCTCGTGCTGAGTCAGTGTGTCTCCCTGTAACGCATCCCAGAAGTCCTGGCGCTGCCTCTGTTCTGATTGCCTAATAGGTGCCTTCTGAAGACGGATCCCACATCTGCATTATTCCTCTTCTTCAAAATACACATTCTGCGTGTTTTCAGTCATTCTTCAAAGGACGGAATCTCTGAGTCCCTCATCAGCCTCTGGGTGATTTCTGGTTATCGGTCCACATATTATCTGACTAGGACAAAATATACAAAGATAAGAGTTTCTTTGTTCAAGACTCCGTACATATTAAAATGGGCTTTCCTATAGGCTCCGCCTCCCGTTGACAACACGCCTAACTTCATTTTGACGGTTCTCCCGCATCTCAGCCCCTGGTGAAGGGCAACTTTTCACCTGATTCAGTCACCTGACGATGTGTTAACAACTTCGATAAGCATGACATTCTTTGGTCTATCCATCCAGGTGGATAGATACGGGCAGGACAACATCACAGAGCTCTGCTTCCTGTGTCAGAGACCCATTGTTCTCAAAGGCCAGGGAAGACTTCATGGAAGAAGTAGGACATGAGCTGGACACTGAAGGTTTAGATAGACTGATGACCTGATGTGACCAGAGGGTGCATGATTAGGGGACACGGGAGATGATGAGGATGGCATGAAAAAACATGTGGGGGTGTGGTCATGGTGGTGGTGACGATGATGACGACGATGATGATGAAGGGCAGCAGGAAGAGGAAGGGGGTCAGAGTGTGCCTGGGACAAGATAGGAATTGCTCTTGGGGCCTTCTCCTCTCCTACTCTTCTCACAGTTGCCCATTTCCCATGATGCACTGCAGGCCCAGAAGAGGAGTTTGTGAGGAGGCTCAGGACTTCTCCTAAGGTGCAGCAGCAGGCTATGTTAGTAGTTTCAGCTATGATGGTGTGGGGCGGCGAGGTGTCTACTAGCTTCTCAATGGCTGACCTGGGTTTTATGGACAGAGGGAGCTGTGACTGCCCCCCAAACTCCTTTCTGGTCCTTTGACTTCCTGATGCTCCTTGCACCATGGACCCATTCAGATGTTCCTTCCTGTCACTCCAGATTTTGGGATGTACTGTAGGTCCCCAGAGCTCACTTGTCCCAGCCACTGGCTGTTGGTGGTCAACTCAATTTGCCCTAAATGGATAAATACCACTTGACCGTGAATTCTAACATTGCCTTAGAAGGTTCAGAGACTAGCTGCCTCTGGCTAAAAAGATGATCTAATGACCTTTAAACCCGTCAAGTCAGACTAGCCCCACACTCCCCAAACCCCCAAAAGAGAGGGCAATGCCTAGGTTGTGATCCCTTGACTTTAAAGATGAGATAGAAGGGCTTCTACCAATGTGTAATAATCAGATGGCTGGGCGGGAGTGGGAGGGAAAGCTTCCAGATCATGCAGCCCAGATTTTCTTTCAACGTGCAACTTGTTTATATTTCTACTATGTAGTTTCCCAATCCTCACGCCATTGGTGGCCTCCCCAAGGCTGAATTGTTTTCCAGGCTTCTCATCAAAATGACCTCTCTGGTTCTGCCAAGAGCGGGCTCGGGTCTGCTTTCGGTGGTGGCTGCTTAGCACCAGTTAGTGCAGGTGAATTTTTCTCAGTTATTTTGCTTCACAGCTCATGGATCAGGTTAAATCTCTATTTATTTCAGATACCAGATACAATCACTTGTCTTAGAGTTCACTTCCCACAGTCCACAGAAAAATTAAGCTGTTCTGCAGAGGGTGGGGTCTAGGGAATGGGTTGGGGGTTTCCCCTATTCTTTCACTGACCTGAAACGCTCTCTTCTCCTGATCTGGACAGAGATCTTGTAGATTTCTTTCTCTGAGTTTTCCCCAACTGGTCAGAACAGAGGTCCCGAGGTCCCCCTGCTAGTAAGTGGGCCTCAGGGAGCAATGGACATCTCTCTACGCGCCAAAAGAGAACAGCAATGACATTTGCCTAGCAGTTACCCATGTACAAAGCTCTGCAGTTTCGACATTTAATTTCACTTTATATTTAACTTCATTTCATGTTTAATCCTATTTAATCCTCAAAACACCTTGTGTGTGAGGTATTGGCAACATCCCTGACCATATTTTGGGACAGGGGTGGGGGATCAAGAAACAGAGGCTCAGGTCCTCGCTCATGATTACAGGGAGAGTAATTGGCAGAGGGAGGGTAGGAATCAGCTCTGCGGACCCCAGACCTGAGGATCTCTCCCCCAGAGCACACAGCTTTCTCTCAGAGACTGTTTTGCAAAGGAAAAGTAGGTGCTTATCTGGCTATCCAAGGAGAAAACTCGGCCTACTCCCTTTACGGGCTGTTCATCAGATATTTACTATGTGCCTTGAGCTGTGCTAAATCCACACCATCCTCTGAAGCCTCATAAGGTGTTAGGGTATTTCTATCACATTATCACACATGTGGAAATTGAACTTGAGGCAACAGTAGGAAGTAGTTGTGAGTGTTAACAGCTCACTCAGCCACCAGGACCCAAAAGCACAATACAAATCAACACAGGAAGTGGGTGGTAAAGGTTCTCAGTGGCGGCACCCACGCATAGCTCCTCTCTCATTAGGTAACAGGTAGGAGTCCTGCGGGGAGGAAATGGGTTGCAGGTGCTGGTAGGCACATCAAGGTTACCTCAAGGTTATAGGGGCCATGAGTGTGCTTGAGAACCTTGGCCTGCGGGTGGGCTGTGTGGCCAGGGTTAGAGAGTGAGTCAGGTGCTTGGTCAGGTGTTTGCATACTGACTACGTACGAGCTGAACCTCTGCCAGAGGGGAAATGTGAAGATCAAGGGTGGCAGGATTCAGCCTCTGCCCCGGGAGCGCTTTGTCTAACAGAGAAGGCAGAACAGATACACGTACGCAAGCTTGCACACTCACACACACGTGCAACCTGAGAACATTTGCAAAGCCGTATAGATGAACGTACTGTATCCATGAGCCCGGT